GGTATTTTGTGAAGAATATTTTTGTTATTTAACAGGAGTTACTGTTTGTTTGGATTGAACAAAAACAGAACCAGATTGTTGGAGACTGGTAGGCCAATGATTTTTTCAACTTTTTATGATCACGTTTAGGATTCACAATTTAGATAATTAATAACTGATGTGTATGTTTTATTGAGGAAATTTAAAAAGAGGTATAACAGGCCATGGTATGTTTTGTTTGCCTTGTAGGACTATTTGTTTTTAAACTTGCTTTGCCTGAAGAAAAAATAAGTGAAAATTGCCATAAACGATTTTTTTTATTTTTTATTATTGATTTTTACTGACACTGTCAAGACATTGGACAGTATTTAAAAGAATAGTTTGGAAGCTTTAGATTTTGTGCAGAGCATGCTGTATAATGTAAAGAAAACCCTCAAGTAATTACACAATGACCCTGGCATTTCAAAATAAAAAGTTAAAAATAAGAACATAATCGTCTCTGTCTAGACTTTTGGAGCTATGAATATACTGTATATATGTCAAATACATTTCTACATCGGTAGCTCTGAGCGAATCGAATCCTGGACGTGCTGTTTACTTTACCTCCTCCAGCCACTACGATTTGCTTTACATGTTTTACAGTGCGAGTGTTTGGTCAGGCAAATTAGAAAAACAAGCGGATAATAAGGGTTAGCGGGCGCGATAAGCCCTAATATCATGTAAACTGGCAGTGGGGATAGTTTAAGCTGGTTTTATGCTAATATTACCAGAGTGACTGTCAGCAATGGCAAAACACAAATATCTTCAAACACGCTTAAATCCGCAACTAAATACGAGCACAAACAACACACTCTCCAGCACTGCATTCATTTACAGCTGGACCTTTGATTCTCAGCAACTAACACATTTAAAAAAAAAAACGAGAATAAATAATTTTGCTTGATGAAGTTGCGTTGGAAATATCAGGGCTCTAATCGTTGTAGTCTGCAGGGTTAAAATGCAGCAGGAAGGAGTGGATTTTTTAGTATTTTACCGTAACTGCCGGACGATAAGCCGTAATTTTTGTGTAATTTTTTTAGCCTTGCGGCCTCTATAGGAATGCAGCCGAAATATGTCATTTGATTTTTATAAAGGTATTGGAATTGAATTGATTTTTGCTACAGCCGTTCTAAACCCTTCCTCCATCAGCTGTTGATCTCCAGAACTGATGATGTAGAAGTGTAATTATAATGTACATTTAGAAATTATATGTTTCTGTTTTTATATGAGTAGTTCTACCTTCATTCTACATCCATTTTTGGCCGCTTGACAATCAAAATTCTTTGGCGGTTAAAGAAACTTGTCTTAAAGTGCTGGTTTCTGGACTGATTCGGTGCAAAAAAGCAGCTAGTTACCATAGCGACACTGTTTACTGACAGCAGTTACAGTACCATGTCATATTTAGTGTTCTATATTTCAGCTATATTAACCTGTTTTAGCAATTATTAAAGATAATCAATGTATAAATAGCTCAATTCTAATAAAAGTAGTAAAAAACAAACTTTGAATGGGACCCGTCAAAATGACTGCTCTGAGAGTTCTAGTATTTTCAAATACATACATGACACGTACTGTATCTCTCTCATGGTTCAGAGATGATTCCAAGTTCATATGTGGTTGAAATCCTGCTAAATATCACATTAACCGCACCAAGCATGAAGCCCAGAATAACAATGCTTTAGAGAAACAATGGATCAGCCAACAATTCCAATATGCAGTGCTATTGAAGCGTTATCTATTCTTTCCCAAATAAATTACAAGCGCTATCAGAGAGGACCACAACAAAACCTCATGGGGCACATTTTCCATGATGAGGTCACGCCACTCGGGCCATATTTGACAGCACAAATTAAAACTATTAACCCAATCAATATCAATCCTGGTTTTTTTCTCCCTATGAGTCAAAATCAAAGCAAATTGCATGCCGAGTTCTTACGCACACACACGCTAATCCAATTACAGCTTGTAGTTGTCAAGCATTTGAGAAGACACTTGTGCTAATATCACATTTGACATGAATTACATTGTGATTAATTGAGAATTAGGGTTGTGTCTACATGCCATTGAGCACGAAGCATTTCTCCACTGTCACATCGCCGGCTGCATCCTGTCACTCTCTCTGTCGTCTTGTCTCGGATTGTAAACACAAGTTTGATAAATAGTTTTGTAAATGTCTGATTGAACAGTTAAGACAGTTCTTTTATTCAGACCAGACCGAACCAGCACTGTATATTATGTGTTCATGTGAGTTCATATTTACTTGCACTATTAAAGCAAGCATGTCCAAAAAAAGGCTCAGGTGGACCTCTGCCTTGCACAAAACATCCAGCCATGTGTGTGTCATCCAGCCAACTTCAGCACCACCAATATAGTGTGGTCTCTCTCTGACCCAGATGAGTTTGACCTTCACCTCTGGGGGTCTTGTTCATTGAAGGGAGCGGCTTTAAGATATTCAATAAATGTAATTGCAATGCCGCTACCTTGATACATAAACTTGCTTCTTCTTTTAAACTTTCTTCTAATTCAAAACATATTGGCATATTTCTCGTGGGCACAATAGTCAGCATTGATTGGCTATTGAGGGGATCAATCTGCCAACCCTCAGGTGTGAAAGCCTCCATGGTCATTTCCAATTATCCAGAAAGAAATATGCAGACTTGTATTTTCCATTAGGCAAAAATAGCAGCATTATATTATTTTCCATCTATAAAACCTGTAAACCTTTGAACCACTACAATCATTACAAAGTGCTTTGATTTCCCACATGTGCGAGACAGCAGGTCTGGAGTGTAGTTCATTGTAGCTAAAGGCGTGGAATCGAACTTTAAGCATTGGGTCCCCAGGGGTACTGCAGGTTTCAAGAAAATCAATGTGGAACTTATTAAGACTATAATGAATGTAATTTAAGACCTATATGTTAGTAAAGAGTGGGTCAATGTCAGATATCACTTATTGGATTAGAGCCCTGTTGACTGCAGCAGAGATAAATGAATGTGCTGATGATATAAATAGGCTGAGGTGATGTGAGCTGCCAGTGAGAAGAACTGGATCTAAAGAGGGCATTGGCACAGTGACTCATGACGAGTAATTATGCGGCCCATAATGCTTTGCCAAACACCTCATTATAGCAAGAAAGGTGTGAGTGGAAAGAATAGTTTTCCTGAGACATAGTATATTTCATAATTTGGGGATCGCTGTGTAGCTGTGTTGGTAGAGTATTGGTCGTTGAACCCTATGGACGTGATCCTTCCCCCCTCAAAATGGATATTAGAAATGAAAAGTCGATTGTTAATTTTGTATAAAGCATTTTAAGTGCCGCACAATAATCCACTTTTTATCTTGTGTTGCAGCCAATGTATGTAAATTGTTTAAAAAGTTATTTGAATTGAATTGGATTTTTCTAGAGCGGTTCCAAACCCTTTCTCCATTAGCTGTTGATCTCCAGAGCTGATGACACTGCTTCTTACTGTGTTTATGTGAACAGTAGAAAGAGCTGATATGAGGGAAAGGAAACACACAGGACTTCTTGTTATATGATTAGGGCCAATTTCAGAACAGAGATTATGGACTTATTACTATGACTCAAATTTCAGTATGGATGGATACTGGATAGTTTTTTGAATCTTGCAATGCAGCCAATGTATGTCAATTGTGTCAATACAGTTAAGTGAATTGAATTGGATTTCGTTAGAGCCGTTCCAAACCCATTCTGGACTTGTTAAGGACATATCATTATGACTCAAGTTTCAGTAGGGATGGATGCTTGTTTGTTTAAAACAGATTGATTCAACCATTGAATTTGCTTTGCTCTTCACAAGGCAGTTTTAAAACACTGACACTCAACCCCATTTTGTCTGACGCAGAAAGACCATTTGGTGGCAGCTTGGATTGCCACGCCCCTGACCCTGAAATGGACAAATAAAGGGGATGAAAATGAATGACTGATTTGTATATTTTAACATACAACTCATTAGTGTGTGAGGACAAATCATGTTTTACAAAATAAAAAAAAGGGTTTAACGATGTTTACAATGTGCCACTTTCACAAAACAATAACTTTAAAACAGCCATACAAATCTTGATGGTCGGTTTTGTGCATATGTCTGCGGTTTATAGTCACGCTGTCAATTGTGCGTGGCAAAACTATTCACCCGTCATCTCCATTTGTGTTCATGTGTGTGTGACCAGGAGCGAGAGGCAGAGGCGCGTACAAAGCAAAACTAATGTCACTGATATGAGCTGTGGTTACATTTAAATTTGCTTTTTTTCATTCATTTTCAACCACTTTATCACTCAACTTCTGGGTTGTGGTGGCAATTGCAGCTGTCACTCAATCTTAGTAGCACCAGCTCCCCTTTCATTTTTAGAATCTACATTTTTGTCCTTGTCTCGGTTAAATAACTCTACATTACACACAAGGTTAAAACATTTGGTTATTGAGCCAACGTAACCAATTGTTTCAACTTTCTACATGAATTCACATTTTATGCATGCAATTACATTTTCTTTGCATCATTGCATCCGTAGATTCAATTTAACTTTAAAAATATCCCATTTAAACTTTATCCTTATCCCTAAAGCCAAATTTTTAGTTACTACTAATTAGTTTCCTCTTGCCAAACCGACATACTGTGTAATAGAAATTGGCTCCCTTCTTCCCCCGTCTCGATTTAAAATGTCAGAATGGATACCTGCCTCTTCATAATGGCTAACACTGACATTTATTCTCATTTCTCTGTGTTTTATGAGACCTTTACAGTTAACAGTAGTTCACTTTCCACTTCCTCGTGTCAGTAGAAATCATTTGTGGATTTTGCCAGGACTGAGCCAAGGAAACGTCTGGAATATATAATCAGTAACTAAAACCTTCAACACCATCGTCTCCATGGATCCCCATCTTCACTGCGACTGTCAAACTCATTTATCCATTCTTTTACAGCCTGTTTTTGTTCAGCGTTTGCTCGTTTCGGGACACTTCTAAAATGTATAATGAGGTCATTTGCATTAGACTGCAAATTTACCCGACCTTTGCTTTTGCCAATAATTACAGTAAAAGGCGTCTGGGTCTGTCATTGGCGCGAATGTGGCGGGGACCTCTTTGTGCTCGTGAAAAAGGTTAGCCGCGGGCTGACTCCGGACTTATGAAAAAGCCCGAGGAAAATGTCATCAGAGCAAAAGGGAACGACACTGGGAATTAACTATTGGAAATTCAATCAGGGTGGCTTTAAGGACAGCAGGCGTGAAGCGCGTTTAATTATCGGAAAGACGGGGAGTAAGGGGTGAGGAAATGCTACTTTGAGAGAATCAAGAGAGACACCCCAGAGGCACTCGTATACACTTCCACCATCACACTACTAAAATCTGCATATGGAGTTTTACATACTGTAGATCCGTGTTATCGTCTCACCACCCCACCCCTTTCCCAAGCAATGCAAAATATTAAACCCTGAGCTGAAATGTTCTCTAGATGTCTGCAATAAGATGTAAAATAAGCTGTTGAGAGATAAACTTACAATTAAACAAATGACAAATTATAATGCCATTCCATCATTGTGCATCTCGATCAAAGGTATATTTATTTTGAAGTAATTTCACTTTGACTGGAGTAGAACTTTTCCACCATAATTTGTCCCAGACTTAGTTTTTGTATTGCCCTAAATCACATAGACGTCTCTATTCCCTGATTGTACAAAGTAGGAGCTTTTTGGTGACTGTACCATCAGCTTTAAAGTTGTTGCATTTTCTGAAGATTATGATGTTAATTAAACTGGAAGCAAAAGAAAATCATTAATTCCATTTTAAACCTTGTTAAATTTGTCAGTGACTGAGTAGCACTCGTGTGTCAAAAGTCCAAAAAGGAGGTTTGATTCTGTTCCCACCCGAGCCTTTCTGTGTGGAGTTTGCATGTTTTTCCCTGTGTCTGGGTGAGTTTCCTCCATGTGCTCCGGTTTCCTCCTCACCCAATAACATGCACCATATACATTTTCCAGATCCAATAGTTCTAACCAAGCTGAACAACTACTGGAGATGGTTCCCCAGGTTTAGTGAGCTCCTTGTCAGTTCATGACAGGTTTCCCAAGTGACATCAAAGGATGGCTAAATTCAGAGGACAAAATATTGGGACAATAAAGTATATTGTAACCATAAATGCAAATAAGGCTTTGAATGTCTATATTAGGAAATATCCCATGAATCACTAGGTTTAGTACATGCTGTTCTTTGCCCTCCATCCAGGGCATTGACGGCGACACTTCTTGTTCTGAGTTTTACAGCCCCATTAAATTTCACAGTTAAAAGCACACTTTGTCACCTCCCTGACTTTTGCATGGAGCTTCAAATTGCATGGGTATTATTGGTTTCCATTGTGCAGTGAAACGTGACTGTATTTACCATGTGTTAACTCCCTTCTCCCATCAATAACTCCACGGAAAGACAAAATTACCCCTAAAGACAACCTTACAATCCATCAATTCCTTTCATTTGTTTAATATGCTGATAAAATCTCACCTCTGCTTGTTTAACACTGGCTTTGGAGTCAAACAGTAGAGTGTGACAGGCGCTAATTCCTAAACTCTCCCCAAGCTAAATGAACATAAGCGGGCAGGCAGAGAGCAGAGCGGCTAATATTTGGGGTGGCTCTGTTTTGTGCTCTGTTTTAGTCTCAGCGACGCGTCACGTTTCACCTACCGGACGGCTCCCAGGAGAGCTGCAGTGATAGTGGCCTGGGCGAACACGAGCCGGTGGGCAGTGTGGGCAGTGGCTCTCACCTGACACACGCTCTCCCTCTGGTGCAGGCGCCAGACGACTTCTACGAGCAGGCCTCCCCCGACAAGAGGACTGAGGCCGACGGGAACTCCGACCCCAACTCCGGTGAGCGACGCACCACACACACTTTGAGTCAGCGATTCAGTTTTTTGTGCGTTGTAAAAAATGCTTATTGGCCTTGTATGATATGTGTTTGTCTCAACTCTATATGCTTCAACTTTGATGGTATTCTATTTTTTTCGGAGCGTACTGAGACCATAACGGAGAAGCTGTGTTTGAACTGAGATTAGATTTCTCACATATGGACTCTATTTACCTGTTAGATCAACCTGCGGTAATTCAGAAATCATCAGACAACTTCTGAGGGGTATTGGTTGCACGAAAAAGAAACGGGTTGGATACTTTTGCTCCCCAGTTTAAGTTTTATGAATAAAAAAAGGTTATTTCACTTCATGGTTATGTGTACCTTAGTGTGTGTCTTCTACAAACATTTTAAATTAAAGGAGTTTACATTTTTAGTTCTAGCATGGATAATATCAAGAAGTTGAAAGGGTGTATTCATGCAACCCACTCTATATATTGGCAGAAAAGCTTGCCTCGACTCCACATGCATCTCAAATCCATTTGCCATAATTATACTTGATGGGAAGAATACTTTGAATGCGTTCAGTTACCACACCTGTTTTAGAATGTATTGTGTAATGTACTCTGATCCAAATAGAAGTATGAAAATGTGGCAATGGATGAAACCAGCTTTGCTCTTTACACATTCTTCAGGCATTAGGAGTAGTTTCTTTTTTCTCTAAATAAGTATTCTCAATTGGTATTCCCATTTAATGTATTTAGTTACTTCCATATAGCCATTATAAAAATTTGAGATAAAAATTGCAAAGACACACTCACATGGACTTGATTTTCTTGCACTGAAGTAACTATCTTCGGCCGTCTTCACTCTCCGGCATTGCTTTATGTGCAGCTCTTCACTCAATAACAAACATTGATATTACAAATGCCTTACCCAGTGTAGCACACATCATTTAATTTAGAGTCATCCCATTGCTCAAGTAGGTTTGGAGTGGCTGCACACGAGCGGGTCATTCATTTCTTCAGTTAATCAGCTCGACTTGTTCATCCCTCCCCGGAGCAAACCTGGCACTCCCAGTGGCTCCTCACCTATTTGTGAAACTCATTTGATTTATTTAGAGATGATTTCCCAGTTGGACACAGTTGGTGCTTGGCTTCGAGATGTTAACTTCTTCACTATTTCTGGTGGGAACGCACATCTCCGACCCACTTTTCTCATTTTATCATTAAGAGGTGAGGCGTGTGCACAGATCAAGAGCGTAGCCCCAAGGTCGAAGCCAGCGCTGCCTGCTGAGGGTGGAGCAGCCTGTGCATCGGAACTAGTGGGAGTAAACTAACGCAGCACATGCCACAACAGAACTCCAAACACAAATGATCTGAATGCAATGGTAGCTTCATGTTTTATATCCATCTACAGATATGATTGAAATGTATCATTGCAAGTGGATGTTGGGAAAACTATCCAAATGTTTTTTAAATACATAAGCGTTGAGCGTTGACGCCGTGTTTCTTGCGTTTGGGATGTATGTTTTATTAAAATTCAGCCGCATGACTTTAGTACAACCAGCAGACTGACCTGAGATGCTGCTTGGGTCGGGGTGGCGGGCGGGCTTTAAGGCAGATGAGTTTTAGCAGCTTTTTGTGCATTTACAAAGTGCAGCTCCGCGGTGTGTCTGGGTTCGTGATCCTCCAGAGACGTCAGATTACAGGAGAATCAGCTTCGGCAGAATTAACCAGTGCTACCTTATTGCAGATCACGTTAGCTGTACTTATAGTAATGGTAGAATGTGAACTCAAGGTGAAGGCATACTATGTCCAAAAGCACTGTGTTCCCCATGGTCATTTCTGGTTGCAGGTGAACCAGCTGCAGCGCATTGTCTGATGTGAAGGCAGCCCGCATGTTTCTGACCAAGGTTACATTTTGTCACAGTTGAAAGATATTTAAATCTTCAAGAGTCGACAGTACAAGAGTCCATACATCTATATTTAAAAAAAACATGTTCTCACTGGAGAGGGGAGTGAATCTGTAAGCAGCTGAAGAAAATGACAAAAGAGGCAGAAGTCTGGGATTGAGTCTCAGCAGAAGAGATGTTTTATTGTTGTTAAACAGTATTATCAACAGAACCAGAGTTTTCAGAACGTTCACATGGTTTTATAACAATGCAAAATACTAAGCATCTGCCACGTTGCCAATAGATAAGATAACAATTGATTGCTTCGACCTTCAGATAACCACAACATCAAGACAAAAAGTAGGGACTGCTGTTGCATTGGCCAACTCTGTTTTCCAAGGCACTCTGATTAAAACCTATTAAAAAGCCTTTTAGTGTGACATGGCTATGTTCAAAATATGCACCAATGTGTTTTAGCCTAACATTGCTTTTCTCAGGGTGCAGACAGATACACCAGTGTCTGTGTCCAGGGGCTGTAGACATGTTACATACGCATGGTTAACTCGCTGCTGCCAGTCTGCCACTGAGCAGCTGTGGCTACAGGAGTAGTTTATCACCGTCGTGTAAGGAGTGAATGAGTAATGAATGTTAAGTGAAGCAAAGAGGCTTGCATGAGAGAAGCGCTATTTATAAAGGATTCATTATTTTTATTATTTGTAATTATTTAAAAGATCCTTTATTCGTCCCACAGTGGGGTTATTTCAGTGTTACATCACAAATTATAGAACAGTAGGAAAGAGGAGCACACGGCACAATATGAACAATAGCTATACTAATTAAAATAAAACTAAATCTCTAACTCTAGCATCAATAACACGTATAAAAACTCAATCTTGAAAATAATAATAATAAAAAGTGTTTTATTAAAAGTATTATTACTATTTTTACCTTCATAGGTTTTTACAATTATACACATTCATCTTAATCCAACAAAGAGGTGTCAAACTCATCTGGTAGGGGCCAAATAACAAAAATGATGCAAATATGTATAATTAAATCTAAATGGTAAACTTTTTTGGTTAAAAAAAAAGTTTACCGGAAAGAATAAAAATCAAAATTGCACATTCATATTTAGTCTGCAATTAAATAATAATGATAATTGAAAATCCTTTCAGGGGCCACTGAAAATGGGTCAATCCAACCCCTGAGTTTTGACACGCCTGATCCAACATATTTCAGAATCAGAATCAGAATCATTTTTATTGCCACGTAAGAAACAGGAGGTCACAGACTTGGAAATTCCTTTGGCTCAGTGCAACAGTCAGAGCGAGAGAATAAAATAGAATAAAAAAGAATAAAAAACTTCTGAGGAATAAATTCGAAATTAAAATCAAAATAGAGTTACAATAACTATATACAATATACAGTGCACGTGGTGCACACAATGTAAGGTGACAGCAGTACAGTGAAGTAAAGTGACGTATGATGGGCAGTAAAGTGACTTTATAAGGGGCGGGGGGACTTCTAGAGGGCAGGGAGGTTAAGAAGTGTTCAAGTGTTCAAGAGTCCAACAGCAGAGGGGAAGAAACTGTTCTTGTGGCGGGAGGTTCTAGTCCTGATGGACCGCAGCCTCCTGCCTGAGGGGAGTGGTTGGAATAGTCCATGTGCAGGGTGAGAGGGGTCGGCTGTGATACGACCAGCCCGGCCTCGAGCTCGGGCGACGTACAGGTCCTGCAGCGATGGAAGGCTGCAGCCGATCACTTCCTCTGCAGAGCGCACAATGCCCTGTAGTCTCTGCTTGTCCCTGACTGTGGCTCCAGCGAACCACACGGTGATTTATATTTGTAGCAGTGCTGTATAATCATTACTTACATGTGTCAGCCAAACTCAAAAACCACAAAAGAATCGCAGAACAGTAGCTTGCTGGATCAAAAAAAATGTGAATCATGTTTAGAAATATATAGTATATCTTTATTGGTATAACATGAAGCTAGAGTATCTCTACAGAACCACAAAACTGAACCTCATTGAACTGTTCATGAAACGAAAAATGGCTAATTACATCTAGTGCATGCAAATGGGAGACGAGGCATATTAAAATCACAAACGCTAATCCTTTTCAAGCTCATAAAGAGATCTGAGTGAATGTGCCTGTTTTTTCTGTTTTTCTGCACTTGCCCATATGCCCTTGATTGCTCATGGGTTGTTATGGTTGTGACAAGGACAAATTTCACATTCTGTTACTTTTGGTTGAAGTGTCAAGTGTCTTTTTTCTCACCAGATCCTTGTGTGAATGTGCGCCGCATTCATGTTTTTTGTGCGACAATGACACTATTATGGCTTTAAATGAAAGAGCATCTTCATCACTAATTATATGCCTGAAAGGTGCATTTTCAGCAGGCTCATTAAAAGCAGCCGTTAGGTTTATGTTTTAAATACGCAGGTTGTTTTATTTCTAAAGCAGGTTTTCATCTATTTATGAACGTTCCAGCGAGTGCATAGGGGTACAAAAACGTCTGGGAATAATACTGTAAAGCAGTAGCCTGGCCTTAGCCATCCGTACACTCTGCTCAATCATCATTTCACTGCATGTAACGTCTGGGTCTGATCCCTGGGTTAGCGATTACAATCGGATGAATTTCGACCGACCTACCAGCGAGCACGGAAGGCAGGTGTTGTAGTTAGTTGTGGGTGACGTCAAGAGTTTGCGTCAAACGGGAAGGTCGTAGTTTGGCAATGGCGAAAAATGCGATAGAAAGGTAATCCGGTCTGGATTATCAAGAAATTGAAGCCGGAGCAATAGGAATGTTTAGCAAATGTAATCGCTAAAATAAATTGTGTCGCTACTCCCCGCGGGCTCCGGTGGCGGCAAAGGAGATGGCTAGGCTAAATGCTAAATGCTAAGGACTCACTCGGGCATACGTCTCAGTAAACTCAGATCCAATCTTTTCAATCTGCAAAAGGAGGCAACCCCTCCCACCTGTAAACGAAGCTCAATGCAGCACCTCCAGACCTTAGTACGAAATGTAATTTGTACTATGGTGTGGTACGACCAGGCTAGTAAAGCAGGGGTACCCAACCTTTTTAGTGAGGGGCCACTTTAGTTCACAAGGGGCCGACAACATGAATTGTAAAACTGTGTTGCTTGAAGTCAGGCTGAGCTGTAAAATGAGGTATGCCTTTGGAGTTGAAGTGGGGTGAATGACAAATGTTTTCTTATCTCACCAGCTGCATTTGTGCTATAGACGTAATTTCCATCAATCAATCAACAACTAGATTCCAGAGGTTCTGAGCTTTACAACAAGGTATATTATTCGGGATCCACCAATACCGATACTAGTATGTACTCGCTTGTACTTGTACTCATACTCATACCGTAGGACCCACTGACGCTAGCCGCTATCTCCCAAAGTCGGCAGCGAGAAAGCCCTGCACCCGAGCTTAGTTGTTAGCTTAGCGGCAAGCAGACAGGAGTGACAAGAATGAAACTGGATTGTACGTTGTGTAAGGAAAAACTGTCCCGAGGTGGGTCCAAAACAAACACGTATAACACCAGCAACTTGATCAAACATTTGAAAACTCACCACCGCGCGGAGAATAACACCTTTGCTAGCACCGGAGCACAACAACAACAAACTCTTCTTGCTTCTCCAAAGTTTGTCGAGAAGATGTCAAGCCTAAATAATACACTGGTTACTCGGGTTAAAAAGTTCATCTAATGTTGATTGGTCACTGCTGACTTATGTTTTCAAAGATTCACCAGTTGAATAATTTTGCTTTTATATTATATATTTAAGTTTAAATTTTATGTGTGACAAAAGAGCTCTAACAATCTAATTGTAAATGCCAGCTATTTTTTTTTTAACTATTTATTGACTGTTAAAACAATTGCTAACATGTTTCATTGTTAAAGCATTGTCTCATTGTTGAAATGAGAACTAAAACATTTTATATTTCAGCAGTATTAGTTGAATTCCCAGGGATAACACAATGCAGAACTTTTATCGGTATTCGGTACCGGTAAGTACTCAAATTAAGGTACTCGTACTCATATCGGTTTTGATAAAAGTGGTATTGGTGCATCCCTTTTATATCATCCCTGTATTGGTGGAGCTGAAGTTGGCTGGATGACACTGTGAAGTTGTGTTCACAATAATCACTGAGGGCTGCAGTTGACCCAGTGTAAAAGTATGGTGCTTTTCTAGGACACAGAGAGAGTGACTGCCATCCTTTTATAAACATTGTATCTCACAAGTCGCAGGTCACTGTCTCTGGGTCCAGATTACATTCATTATTACTGTATTTATTAGAAGTGAACTGGTAAGCAGGGGCCATGACCCCGCTGTGGTGGCACAAGGCGGCAGTACTGCTTGCCTGAGAGGTCTAGAGGTGGGTTAAGTAG